CTTATTCATCTTGCTGTTTCCTACCCGCCCAATGTGATCCAGTTCCTGTTTTCAGCTGGCAAACAACACACATCCAAAGCAGGTCTGATGAAAAGAGACCATATATTTTAAAAGCCACCTATTAATCAAAGCCATGATGGAAGAGAGGTTGCAAGATACCTGCGAAAAACATGACCAAAGCTCAGGGGACAGCATTCCACTTCTATTGTCCCGACAGTTTTTCTTGCAAACAGTGAACTCGATGGGAATAAAAACACAGGGAGGGAAGTACTTTTTAAACTGATCCCACCACAAATCATGCAATAATTGAAACAAAGGAAAGAGATTTCACACTGTGTCAGCCAGAATTACAGTCTTGGAGCTTGAAAAGGAAACCAGAGTCATTTCAGCTGTCAGTTGCACCAAGTGGCACAGAGCACAAGCGGGGAGAGCTCTGCCTCTCTCCTGTTCCTGGTCCCTTCCTTGCAGCTCCCTATGTCTGGCCTTCAGCAGAGCAGGGACACGTACCATCCATAGCTGTACCCATTTCTTACAAGTTTTAGGTTGGGAAATTCCCCCCCAACACAAAGTACCTAAACTACATACTAGCAACCACTGGTGAGAAAAAGGCAATGTAGGCTTTTGAGGACAACACACAAAGCAATGCCCAGCAAGGCCAACCTGAAGCGCTGCACACCAGGATTCCCTGCAGCCACAGATGAGTGCCAGGTATGCTCAGAACACAGCAGATTCAGCTCAAACAGCAAGGGGGCTGAAAGGTGGGGCAAGGACCATTGCCTGGAGACCTGATTAAGTGGTACCTCTGGGGGGAAGAAGAAAAGAAAAGCCTTTAAGGGATTATTTATAGGGCTCATAAAGGTGCCTTTTGAATATCCATCAATCAAACAGTCAGTGGAAAGGTCTGCTCAGCACACAGGAGAGTAGAAGGAGTAAAGGAAATTGGCTATGGCATCCATCTGAGATGCAAGCTATCATCCATAATCTTCAGCGACCTGCTCCATATGGAAAGCACAGCAGTTTGGTGAGTAGGATGGTGAAGCACTGACCAAAGAGCTGCTTGGCTTAAAACTGATGTGGTGGCTTCTGCCCCTGCTAAAGACAGGAATTGCCAGTAGTAAGTTGTAAGTTTTAACAACTTTGGGAGAAATAACGGAAGACAGGAAATGATCTACACAAGGATAGAGCAGAAGGTACCTGGGTGCCAGCCAAAGGGCTGTAACCTGCCTTGAAGGAGCAAATAAAACCAGGAAGACAATAACAACAAAGCAGTGGCTGCCTGCAGACAGAATAAAGGGTAATTGCTGGTGAGCATAGGGCCGGCTAAGGGAATAGACAGTGAAAGGAGAGGAGATTCACAGACCATTACAGAGCTTACAAAAGCTGTAGGTCAAGAGCAATAGGCTCATGATGATCATTGGTTTTATGGCTGGTTCCCTTGCATCCTACTGCAGGAATAAACTACTGATCCATGGCAAACATTTCTGCCTAGGATTCCACTTCATCTCTTCCTTTGTTCTGGTTTTGTAGTGGCATTTGTGGAGTATTTTGGTAAATTGGAGTAGCAAAGCAAGGCCCTTCCTGGCTTCCCTTGTTACCAGGAGGCTTGTTTGGTCTAACTCAGAAAGCAGACAGGTTTGTGGTTTTGGGCTTGGGTAAGCAAAACCAAGAGGCAGAAGCTGAAGTCTCAAATATGGTCCCACCACTGCAGCACCCCCTGCTCGGGCAGCCTTTGGGAGCAAACAGCTACACAAGGCATGGCTTTACATTCCTTTCTGATGTGACTTACACATTTGATGACAAAGTACTGTACCAACACCCCATTTATCTTATTAAATGGTCCCAGAAGAGCTCTGAGAAATGTATTTAATGTGGAGACATCTATTAATTAATAAGCACATTAGTCAGCAATCAATACCCAGTTGATGATATTGTTTAAATTATACATACACAATAAGGATATGTTTCTGCCTTCCTCATCTGTTTTAAGGCATATATTGAAAACGAGTAGTGCAGAACAGCTTTGCATTCAAAAAAGTTAAATTAAGATTATTTTTAAATAGACTAATCCTATGAACATATTATATTGCATAAAATTAGCCCTGAGCACAGTCAGTTTATCACCTCACTCTCTTCACAGTCCATTGATTAAGCAGACACTGGGAGCAGTCTGTTCTTTACTGCCTTTGTATTTTATTGCAGCAATACTGTTATCTGTTTCAAAATCCTGACTGAGGCATTCCCTGCAATTACTTCTTCTTGGTCTGCATAAAATGTACAGATAATTCTCAGGCTGATTCGCTACTGCCACTTGTATTACTTGAAGGCAACAGCAGCAATCTTAAACCGCACATCCCTGTCCTCAGACTTGCTCTCACACAACACACACCCTTGCACCAGCACCTACACGACAGCCAATGCTGTGCACTGTACACAGGCCACTTTTATACAGCACCCTTATTACTTCCCAGAAAATGGGACTGGATTGGTATGATCCCAGAGACATTCTGCAAGAGGAGACCCTGGGGCTCTCTGAGCCACCCATGCTCATGCAGGTAACTCAGAGTCTGTCTGCAGAGCAGCATCACAGAATCCCAGCTCGGTTTGGGTTGGAAGGGACCTTAAAGCTCCTCCAGTCCCAACCCCTGCCACAGCCAGGGACCCCTTCCACTGGAGCAGCTTGCTCCAAGCCCCTGTGTCCACCCTGCCCTTGAACACTGCCAAGGATGGGGCATGATTTGCTCTTCCTCCTGCCTGAAAGGGATGTTCTTTATGCTCACGTTCCTCCCTAATAACTAGAGAACAGCTTTTGCCTAGCAGTAAACCTGGATTTCTTGGTCACACACACACACACACACTCAGCTATGCTTCCCTTCAGTAAATCCAATTACAAGATACATTTTGTTCTTTCATTTACCTTGAAATCAAACTTTTCTTTTTAGCACAGGATGAATAAGCACAGCTGAAGCCCCAGGAAAGAACCAGTGCAGGCAATGCTCCTCTGTGCTACTTCTCCCCATGCTGCCTGCACAGCTCATCCCTACTATGGGGCTCACAACCCACTGTTTTTACATGACCAGATGACACCAGCCCCAATTTTCTCCTAAGCAGGGCTGCCATAAATGGGAATAACTTAATAGAAGTGAGCAAAGTCAACAGAATTATTCTGGGGTTTTGCTTCAGTCTCGTGACTGTGTTTTAGCAGAGCTTAAATCCTGAGCCTGGACATACTCAAAGTGGATTAAAAAGCATTTATTTTACATTAAGAAGCAGTCTACTTAGGTGCAAAGTTAATATATGATAATACTTAATGCACTAATATTTATATTAATATGTTTAATTTATATTCAATTACTACAAGCCATTTACACAAGTAGTTTTACCTGGAAAGTTTCAACTAAATTGGCTGAAGGTCATTTTCATGAGTGTACACAAGCCGTAGAGAGACAATGGGTTTGCTTTTAAATTACTACACTATCTAAGAACAGCATATGTCCTCTCTTCATATACATACAATACTTTTATTAGCATAACTGTCAAAGACTGCTTTTGCCTGCTTTGCTTTCAGACACTGAGGATTGATAGATGGCCATTTTCCTCTCCATTTTGGCACACTGGAGCTACATGACTGCTGAATTACAGCAGTATTCTCTTGTTTACTCATAAAGATAATATTATTTGCTTGTTGGCATCTCAGAAGCCACCCTCCAGAGCAGAAAATTACCTGAACCCAGAGATCTTTACCAGCTGATGGAATTACAAATGACACAAGCACTCAGAACTTATAATAAAAGTCATCACAGGAGCACAAGCTGATCTCATAGACCAAATTAAAGGTGCTTCCATGCTGTGGGCAGAGGCAGCAGGGAAAAGGGGATGCTGGAGATGGGATCATCCTGTTAGACAGCCTTCAGCACTGTCCTACCAGTGCCACGCGTGAGAGGGTGCTCTGCTCTCACCTAACTCCTGTGCTCTCCCTGCAGCTGCAGTCCCTGGAGTTACACTTTTCCTTACTCTCAGCTCTGGAATGAGAAGGCAGAAGAAAGCTGAGGGACCCAGAGGTGGCTGAGGGGGATGTGGGAACTGCTGGGAAGCAAAGGTTACACAGGAAGGAAACGCATTTCACAACCACGTGCTGTACAACAGAAGATGCTCTTCACCAGCCTGGGCAGTGCCTGCCTGTCAGAAAACAAGGTCGAGCTACTGTGCTGAGCAACAAGCCTGGACTGCCACCAGTTCATGCTCTGTCCCTTATACTGTCTCTACATACAGATGTAGTGTACTGAATCAGTTCCTCAGTGATGCACATCCAGAGCCTCACTGGGTCTGCCTCACTCAGGGAGATTTTGGTGGGAATATTTACAACTGTGAGTACCAGATTTGTTTCCTACGAATGTGTTCCATTTTTTTTTGGAAAAAAATTACCTAAAACCTGCCCTTTCAGCAATGGGTTTTGCCAATAAACACCTTTGCTGTGATATTTTTGGCACATGGGCTTGAACAGGGACACTAACCCAGCCAAACATCTTCAAAGCTGAAGTGAGCACTCACTGAGTATTCATCCAACTCTGCAATTACATTACTTCTGCTTTGCAATAAGGAGTAACCTTTGTGAGCATGACTGTCCATGAGCTACCCAGACCAAGTGAAGCTCTCCCAGGTGAGTTCTTCAGTCCCACAAATGCACATCTTGGAAAGTTTTCCTACAGACTGATACAAAGCTTTATGTATTCAGCTCGGACTTGTGTGGAACTGATGGGCTTGGTTCTGCCTGAACCCAAAATGCAAGTAAAAGCCAGCCTGTGTCAGAAGACCAGAAGAAGGAGTTACACAGAAATGGACTTTCTCAGCCACACTGCATGGGTCTGCTGCTGGATTGCTTATGAATACAGGAGGGATTTTTCTCAGTCATTCAGCACTGGGTTAAAGTGCTTAGAGAGGACAGCTCAGCTGAGATTGCACATCTAGACCTGGGATCGTGACTTTAATCTTAACAGACTCACCTGGACATCAGGACTGCAGCCACAGCAGGAGCCCAAGCACATGCAGAGCTGACGATCAGCTGGTGAGCACAGGCTGATTTCACCCCCTCATCTCTCAAACATCCTGGATCAAACATTTCTGGAGGTCAGCAATGCAGCCACAGAGGATGTTGCAATACCTGTGATAAAAATCAAAACATAATGTGTTCTGATGGTTAGATTGAAAATTAGCTTTAGGGGCTCCATGCATTGCTTTCTTAATGATGTGAAACGCAGTAGCTTCAAGTGTAATAAAGATGAATTACTTTTTAATAAAATAATGAAACTCCAGTAAACACTCAGGTTTATCACTTAATTTATCCCCAGTGCTCACACAGAAAGAATTTTTTTGCTACCTCATTTTTAATATTCTCAGTGATTAGATTCCAATAACCTGCTCCACAGTAATGTGTGTCTCATTTCCCTGGACAGCCAAAATAGGCCATAACTTCCTCTCCGTTAGAGCACTAATGCTGTAATTTAGAACTTCTGTCAAGATGAAAGATCTTCCCAGGGAGTTGCAGCAGGCCCATGGCAACACTTTGGCAGAGGGCTGGATAATGAAGTTTTCATTATTAAATAAAGATATTTTAGGAATGTCATAACCCATGAACCCATTCTTCTACCACGCATCGGCACGTTGTTTATTTCTCATCTGCTGGTACTACCTTGCCCCTCCTCACTCCCGTTTTTTGGCTACCTCATGAGCTCCCTGAAGTCACCAGAGACATCAATCCAAGTCCCCCTCCCAGCGGTCCTAGGGTGGGATGGACCAGAGCATGGCTGGGGAAGGCATGGGCTGACATCCCTTTGCTGGCAGGCAGCCTGAGCCCTGCAGGTTGGTACTACCTGAATGAAATGTTAATGTGGAAGCTCAGGAGCATCAACAATTACGGGAACAGGGTGTTTTTCAGGAGGAAATTTAGCACTTCTGAGTGGTGCCACACTGGATTCTTGGTAAAGGCTGCAAGTGAACGCAAAGGCAGATCTGCAATAAAGAAGTTTCCCAGCATTTAGGTCTGAGGTGAATCGATAGATCTCAGCAGGGTAGCTTGCTGCCTTCTGAAGACACAAGAAAGACAATTATGAATTGCACAGACAGCCCTGCTCACCTATCAGAACACTGCATTTATTTTTGGAGTTTAAAAACAAGCTGTAAACCCTATCAGGAATTGAATTAATGGGAAACAATTTCCCCCTTCCCGTGTTAAGCAAACAGGGAAGTTGTGTGTGACAGCATAAATGCTCTGTGTAATGGTTTGCTAAGACCCTCCTGATTAAAAACACAGAATCTCATTTGAAGATAGTTAATGGATTTTGCATGTCTACAAAGCATTATGAAGGCAACATTCATCTGAACTTGGGGCCTGTGCTGATTACAGCTCAATTAGTTGTGATTCAGTTCACTGAAGAAAAATACCCATTTCATCAGCACAAAGAAATAGCCACTGGCCACAAAATGCATTTTCTGGAATTGCTCTACCAACTGGTTAGATACTGTGTTTAGAATAGTCATGCTGCCATAACGCTTTAACCGCAGCCTTGGTTTCATGTCACTGGGCTCAATTCATCCTGTTAACACTTTTCCTGAAGACCACCTCAGTGTACACCACCAGATTAGGGAGTTTTTACTGTTCAAACTAAATGCCCGCTTAGAAGCACATCCTACAGCATGGGGTAAATGTACTTGGGATTTTGATCTGCTGCATTTTGATGACGGAATGCCCTTTGCCAAATTCAGTTGTTGCTTTCGGCACCATTACCAGAGGCTTCTGGATTCAGCCGAGCAAACGCATCCTCTGCTGCCGCCAAAGACAGGGAGGGTGCTTGCACAGGGAGCACAGATGCCATGGTTTAATTTTGCAGCTTGCAAGCAACCAAGGATGGTGCTGCTGGCTGCCAAGATGAAATCCCACCATCACACTGGGCCTTCAGAGCTTAGAGCAACCAATGCGAAAACCCTATGTTTCTCCTTAGGGGAACAGGTAAATCTCAGCGTCCACTGAGGAGCAGGTCTGGTGGGTAGGACAAACCTAGATGTCACCAGAGTGAACAAGAAGCTTCCTGCCTTGCTTTTTGCCAGTGCTATTGGGGCAATTCTTGGAGAGCACCCTCCCTAGTATCAGCTCATGCTCTGTGTTGTCTCACATCATATCCCATTCTTCTTTGGGGTCCCTCTCTTTAAGTAGAATCATAAAATCACAGACTCACAGAGTGCTTTGTGTTGGAAGGGACCTTAAATCTCATCCAGTTCCAACCCCCTGCCATGGGCAGGGACACCTTCCACTAGTAGTTTTGGTTTAAACAATGTTTAGCCTCATTGCTAAAATGAGCTGAAGTTGTTCACTTGCACCAATCGCTCTCAGTGGCAATGCTGGGATACGTCAAGCTTCCAGAAGGGAATCTATATTCCTACGAAAATAGTCTTGGATTTCAGTGTCATGTTCCCACGATAAAGCTCAAGAACAGCTCGAGGCAAACAAGGACCAAAGGAAACGCAGCGTATAGGTTAAGTATCAGCATTAAGATCTTGCTTTCGTCTTCCTGCAAAGAAACAAGCAAATAAATATGAAAGAAAGGCGAAACGAAGATAGCACGAGGAGGGGATGTCCCCAGGGCACAAAGCTCGGGGTCATTCCAGCTCCCTGGCCACTAGGTGTCTGTCTTGACTCAAAATCATGACCTGGACCAAGGGAGTGACTGGAGTCAGGCTGGGAAAGCTCTCCCTTCCCCAGCAGTGGGTAGATGAAAGAAGCACTTTCCACCTTCCCTGGTCTTTATGATACCGAGTCCTGGATTTCTTTGTCTCTCATCACCGTATCAGCAGCACCTCTGGGGATGAAGTTCAAGCCCCCCCTTGCTCTCCACCTCCAGGAGCCCTGGTCTGGCTGAGGTGATCCATGGTGGGTGCTGGGCCGGAGCCCTGCGCTGCTCCTGGAAGCTCTTCTATTTATGGAAATTCAAGTCTTTCATTTCACTTAATTAAAGCACCCGGGAGCTATCAGGCTCATGTTTTTCAGGAGATAAAAGTGTGCTTTTAGAAGGCAGGGAAGGGCCAAAGGCTGAAGCTTAAATACAAACCAACTCTTCAGTGGGAAGAGACGACAGGAGATTCAAATCCATGACACTGGGATTCAGCACTATCCCAGCTCCATTCTGAAGTCTGATTCCTACTGAGAAAATAACACAGGAAACACAATCTGGAATACGCTTCTGTCTCCACAAGTGGCCAAACCCAGAAGTATTCAGGAAAAAGACAAATACAAACGACAATACCAACTACACTCCACTTTTCTGCTTTATCTGGTTCTAGACCAATTCGAATATTCACCTAAAATACATGTTTTTTATTACACAGAAAAATAGTGAGATGAAATCCTACTACCACAACAGAAGTATTATTCACAGCAGTTAAATCATAGAAAGATTGAACAGGCCGATCCTACTAGTAGATAGACTTGCAGAAGACCCACTTGTGTAAAGGCAGTTTGGAATTTAGCAAAGGCACATGCAGGGAGTTACACAGGTGAAACATCCATCAGAAACTCAGGACATCCAGTTTCCATTTCATATCATTATCTAGTCTAGCATCAGCACATATTCTGATCTCATTCACAGCATGGCCAAACTAAAACCATTATTAACCCTGTAGGAGACAACTGACTTTTGCCAGTGCAACCATGGTGAGATCATCTTCAAGCCCTGGGCCATGCTGCATGACGAGTGGCTATCTCAGGCAAGCACCTAAAACCATTTTAAAGTGGCAAAAAGCAGTTACATGGCTGATTATCAGTTTGTGTTTTCCAGTCAGCATCAGAAATAGCTAAATCTGATACATACACAATGTGGGGTGAAGAACTCATTGCTATTGAATTCACCTAAACCTTATGGGTCCAGAGGGTGCACACTAATGAGCCATTCACACGCAGTAGCTGCTTTCTACCCTTCCAACTGCACATAAAAACACATTTGTCATTTTGACATTTTCAATGTCTATCTGATCACACTGCTGTCACCCCAAGACTGCTGCCAGCAACAGACTACGCACAATAAAATCTAGATACCTACAACACTTGACTTGGTTTTGTAACTTCAAATCGCATCCTAAAGGGGAGCAAAACTGCTCTCGGCAGAAGTACCACCAGAACTCATCCCTTCAGATGTGGCTCATCAGCAGACACACCACCACGAGACACGGGCTTTCCCACTCTCTATTCCTTATCAGTGAGAAGCTGGCTTTCCTCAGGGAAAATGCCACATGAAAATACGCCATGGTTCCAGCTGGCCAGGTGGGTACTGGAGCAGAGAAATGATTCTGCTGAGCTAATGAAGCTTAGGTCAGAACTGTGTAAATACAGGAGAAAAGAACTGGCAAACATTTGTTCAAATGAAGGCATAGCATTAGTTTCAATAGCACCCACGAGTCATAACGGCTCTTGTCCGCTCTCCTGGAGTACTTGCACAAATGAACTGTTGTTTGAAAGAATATTCACACAAAGCCTCCTAAAAACACAGGCAAATACATGCTCAAATCTGAGCAGTTATGCAAACATTTCCTCTGGTGACTAATGACACCAAAGGGTTTTCCTGCTGCTTGTGAACTTGGGAGTCATCTGCCCAGGAGTCTAAAGTGGACTACATGGAAAAGAGCACAATCAGTAAAGAGCAGTTTGAGAGAGGTGCACGTTTGGATTTATTAGCATTTCTACTAAGATTCAATCCAACTCTTTCACCTCATTAGAAAGTCACTTTAATATCAGCCAATTTATCTAAAAGCCTCTGAATTCCTCTCTGCAGGAATCTGTATATCCCAAGGCTGTTGCAAACAACTGTCTTCACAGCACCTGTCAGTAACTTCCTGCTATCACAGCTCTAACAATGACAATATTCCTCTGACAAGTAAACTACCTACTTGAGCACTGGATGGACTAAAATGTGAACTCAAAGCAGGGCAGCTCTTACCATACAATAGATATTGTGTCTGAGCACCATGGGCTTTTTAAGGAATGAGGGGAGGTAAAAAGTGGAAGTCTAGGATGTCAGCAGCAGGATGTAGGGGTGGAGAGTCCGGAGGCCCCACAGATCGCTGAGATGGGAAGAAGCTGCATTGGAGAAGAGTTTCTGCAGGGCTCTGGCAATC